CAGAACAGTTCAGAGCAGTTTCAGAAGAGCGGTGATTACAGGAGAGAAACGATCTTTAGCGTTAACTCGCTGATTGCGCCCGTTTAAAACGCGAGCGTGATTTGTCGGACTCTCGTGATTTGTCAAACTGAAGATGAAAAAGTCTCGGTGATTTTGTAGCTTTCGTTCGTGTGATTTTTAACTTCGCGCACCACCGTCTCTACTGTGCTGTAGAGATATATTACGTTTATATATACCACTACTACGTTTGTTCAGAGATGAGAGCGAGCCAACAGAGATAAGTTTTAAGCATCGTTTTAATCAGCCCAGGAGAATGTTGAAAGCGCTGTTTACAGTGCTGTATACACAATCCCGCTCTCTGAATTAAATTATCGTGCACCGGTTCCTGTGTATTTTGCGTCTTTAATTCCTTAAACGCTGGAATAATCTCTCGGCTTTTGGACAATAAGACAGGATCGTGACTCTGTATTATGCACAGCGCGAAGTTCGTTCTACGAGTATAACGGACGAGTACCTAGAGAATAATTGAAGTAGACTTTCCCGAAAACAAAGTTCCGTACGGATAGACACGTAACTTGCAACATCTTTTATTTCTAACATTTATTTTATATTATTGGTAATATTTATTTTTTTCGTGTAAACTATTCCTGTACTGTACAGGACTGTGCGTTAACTGCCGTTGGAAGGTTAAAAATTCAGTCGCGTTTCTTGGTTTCTCGGCAGTGGATCAATTTTCATTTCTTTTTTCTTTTTTTTTTTTTTTTTTTTTTCTTACAAAATTTGTTCACTCAATTTGTTGTAAATGTGTAACGCGTGCAATTTCCAATAATTAGTTACGCAATAATAACATTATAAGAGAAATATAAAAATTCGAGAGTCGAGAAAGTGTAAGACAAACCTGTAATTCCGGTGCTTAATCTACATTTAATGGCAAGGTATCGAAAGTGACGATATATTGCGTTAACGTAACCATTAGAAGTATTTTGTATTCTATTCACACAAACACGTGGCAAAACTGCAAAAAGATACCTCGTAAATTATCAAAATCTAATTCAATTAAGTTAACAAGAATTATCTACTCTAGGCAAAATGTTTCCTAATTCTACCACACGTGTAAAATATTTCTAACGATTTGCAATTACTCTTTCCTCGCAATCTCTGACGCAATAATAATTCCAGTACTTGCAAAAGGATATTTTGCTATACTTTTCTAATAACATTCCGCCATTAAATGTAGGATTAACCTTTGCAACTGGTTCGCAGACCGTAACGAGTGACCAAACAATAATGTGTACAATAATTCGTCGCTTTCTTTTTTAACTCGTCGGAATAAATTTATTTAATTTGTTTTGCCTGAGTCGTGTTTTAGTATATACTTAAAACTGAGGAAATATTGCAATTTTTGACGTGTGTGGCACGTCACTCCAGGGCAAGAATTTTCATATTTCTTGCATTTATTATCGAAAAATTGTTACCGGGAGCACGAATCTCTTTCTACGCAGTGAATATTATTTCGCTTTCGCCTGGCGAAGATATCGCCAAGAAACTAGAAACTGTGCTGAAATACTTTTTCTAGGTCCGCTTCTGGATTCCTAGTTTCTTCTTTTTTTTTTCTCCTTTTTTTCGATAAGGTATTCAATCAGGATTGAGGATCCGTTTGCAGCGAAGTGCGCCATCCAATTGTCCGACCGCGAGTACCCCTAGTGCTGCACACTATCAACGATATTCGTTCGCATTGATAGGAAGGTGAGCGAGATCGAGAAAGAAGTGTGCACGTGTGCCTGGCCTGAGCGGCGGTTTATTCGTTGATTGGTCGGTTCGATGGGGAGGGGGGGAAAAAAAAGAGAGAATCGGGAAAAACCGTTTTCATTCGAGGGAAACCGAACGTTTATCGATTCATTGCCGATATCTGCAAATTGCGGCTAATTCGATGTCACGGTCACTGGTTCGGGGACGTATTAACTCGTCTCGGCTCGTTAAATCCGCATCTAGTTCGCGGAATTATGCTTTTCAAAACGTTCCGCGAGAAACGTCTTCGTTCGTTATTCATATAAAAAAAAAAAGAAAGAAAATCATTAAAAAATGATTTGAATGATTTTGAATTTTGAATGGTCAAACAAGCAAACGTTTCTAGTGGTGATATGCGAGTTTGCCAGTCTCCTCGTTACTCGAGAGATCGTGATTCTGCAATTAAATAAGGCAAATATTTGAACATTTTTGAGCGATATTCACTTGTGTGAACCTTTTCATTATTTGAGAGATGATAAAAAAATTTTTCTCGATTCCGCGATTTCGTAATTAAATAAGCAAGCATTTGGATATTTTCGAGTGACTGCAGATTTTTATGCATTTACAGGAAATTTTATAGAAGAAATAAGGGATTATACCTGTAAGATGCAAAAATGCACAGAGTGCATTATTAATAGCAAAAAAGTATAAAAAATATCCACAGTGCAATACTCCAGAGTACAATAATTTTCCATCCAGTTTCATTTTTCTAAATTTCATTCATAAAGATGCAAATTTGCAAAATCGACATACTCTGTATACTTGTGCAACACTCTGTACCACAAATTTCCATCCAGCTTCATTTTTCTAAATTTCATTTATAAAGATGCAAATTTGCAAAATCGACATACTCTGTATACTTGTGCAACACTCTGTACAATAAATTTCCATCCAGCTTCATTTTTCTAAATTTCATTCATAAAGATGCGAATTTGCAAAATCGACGTACTCTGTATACTTGTGCAACACTCTGTACAATAAATTTCCATTCAGTTTCATTTTTCTAAATTTCATTCATAAAGAATGCGAATTTTCAAAATCGAAAATCCGTCGACGTCCGGTTCTGTGAATCTGTCCGTCACACGTGTCTCTCCGAGAGATCAGAAAAAAACTTTTATTTCCCCGCAATTAAACGAGCAGAACGTTTGAACATTTTCGAGTATTCTCTTCCTCTTCTCTGCATTTCGTGCACGAAAATTAGTTTGCGTTATTGAAAACGGATTATCACGATTACGGCCGTAGTAAATAGGTTCGATTTTCGAATTCGAGAGAGAACGGCGATATTTTCTCGTTTGTCAGCGTGAAATCGATTCGGCCGGTAGATGTGTGGAATGTAATTTTATAATACACGCGATAAAGGCTTTCCATCGGGGCAGATGGCCCGCGAGCTTTATCAACGTTCGTTCAATCAAAATCATTACGCGGTTCTCGTTGGTCACTTTGCCCTTTAAAACCGGCCCGAGCAATTAGCGCGCGGAAATCGCACAGTGTTCGGAAAAATATCTTCCCCGGATTCACTGTTGCGTATATCGTGTACTCGAAAAAAATGATTAAAAAAAAGAAAGAACAAAGAAAAGAGCATTTTCGATATTTATCACCGATATTAATTGCAACACCGACTCGGTGTCCGTTTTATATCCTCGTTTTGAATTCATTTGAATCGCCATTGTATCTTTTTCGAGCATTTCGTTTAATTGAATTGAAATTGTTTCTTTATTTTTATTCACATGAATCGTGATATATATATATATATATATACATGTGTAAAACTGTACGCGTCTCTTCATCTCTTTCAATTTACTCGGGGGAGTAAAGCCATTGTCGAAAAAAAAAAGCGCTTTCAACAGTTGACTCGCAGAGAGAAGTGAATTTTCATAAATATTCGCATTTTAACCATTTGCATCGCGGAGCGAAATGTTTTTCGCGGGTAAATATAAATTATAATCCGCGAGCAGCAATTACGGATGTTGTATATTTATTAGTTTGCGGAAGGCTCGGTACTCGATTAGTGTAAGTGACTTTTCATTAAAAATTGCTTGTGTCGTGCAAATGTGCTTCTGTTATAATCGATGGAATAGTTTAGCCATTATTTCGAATGATTTATATAGTAATGTAATTTTAACAATAAAATAATAAATATAATTTATATAAAATATAGAATGTAAAATAATGAAAAATAATATATAATGTAAAATAATAAAATAGTAATTAACAATAAAATAACATGTTTGTTGTTAAAATAAAATAACATACGTTTTAAATTTTTAATAGCTTCAGATATTATGTTTTAATAATCGCAGTGACTATTATAATAATAAATATAATTTATATAAAATATAGAATGTAAAATAATGAAAAATAATATATAATATAAAATAATAAAATAGTAATTAACAATAAAATAACATGTTTGTTGTTAAAATAAAATAACATACGTTTTAAATATTTAATAGCTTCAGATATTATGTTTTAATAATCGCACTATATTTAATAATCGACTATTATGATAATAAATATAATTTATATAAAATATAGAATGTAAAATAATGAAAAATAATATATAATGTAAAATAATAAAATAGTAATTAACAATAAAATAACATGTTTGTTGCTAAAATAAAATAACATACGTTTTAAATTTTTAATAGCTTCAGATATTATGTTTTAATAATCGCAGTGACTATTATAATAATGATTAAACTCTTCTGTTGATAGAAGGTTTTGTCCGAAAAAGAAAAAAAAAGAAAAATCGATGGAACCAGTTTAGTTATTTCTAATAATTTATGTAGCAATGTCACTTTAATAATATTTCTTAATAATTTTAGTTGTCGTATTTTAATAACTATATTGCAGTGACCATGTAATAATCTGTTGACTGAAGCACTTGTCAAAAAAAAATGAGGTGTTATCTTCATGGCACAAATTGTTTTCAATCAAACGTAACTTCTCGATACAACATTACGCATTGCACTCTATCTCGTGTTCTAATATTTCGTTGCATGTTTAGTCATTAACTGAGAATAAATCAATTTAAATCAAAGCTTGATAAGTCGCGATACAAATAATTTCATTTTGAACATTAAAAAGATGGAAGATTAAAAAGATATTCTATTCTGTTCTATTTGATTGATTAACTGACGAATGAGATTGCGCAGGGGGGAGGTAAACGGTAAATTATTTCCAGATGGAATGTACCTGGTCAGAGGTTCGAGGTGCGAAGGATTTTTACGATTGGCTGGCGTGTGCACGTGTAACAACCTGGCCGGATACGTAATCCTCGTATTTCGATGGGAAAACGACGTAAAGGCGAAACGAGTGTCCTTTACGATCCCTTAAATGCCCCGCATTATTTCCAGCAGGTGGACGATATTCAGGCGCAATAACGCGATATAAATAACCTGGGTCGTAACTTCCGTACACGTAGGTGCCGCGTACTATTCGGCCAGGGCTCTTTATTCCGGGGCACGTCGGTTTATAAACGTTAATCACGTGTTTCCCCCTTACGCGTTTGTCGCTCTTGCTTAGCCGCTGCAGGAAATTACGCCGGACGCCAGTCCCCACTTTCGCGCCGCTTTCTCGAGAAGAAAAGCACAACTCTTTATCGCGATGGAAAGAAAACAGAAAGAGGAGAAAAAGGAAAGACACGATGGAAAAGGAAAATTATTTCGGTTCGCCGAAGTCGATCTCCGTGGCGTAGAATCGTCTACGAGCCAACCGGTTTCCTCGAGCCTCGGGAAATGATCACTTGATTGGACGAAAAGTGAAGTTGGAGGGAAAACAGACTTTCAATTAAGACGTTTTCCACTGTCCGGGCATAAATTAATTAATTTACGCAACGTGTCTTGTCGCGAGATTACAGCCTCGTTTTTCTTTTTTCAAGTCACAGGGTTTCGATTAGGGTTTCTCTTTTAAATCTACCTACTGAAATTGTTCTCGAGTTGTTCCCTGCGTAAGGTTATCAAGATTATTTCGACAATTTATTTTTAAATCGACTGGACAACGATATTTCGTTTTTATGGTTCCAATGTCTGTGTGCCATGATTTTTTAGCAGAAGGTCCATTATTAAAAAAAAAAAAAAAAAAAAAAAAACGGATCTATCTCGAAATACATACATACTTGTATTCACTTTTCCGAGTAAATTCGTTCGATCGACTCGAGTAATCTACGTTATATACTAAACCTAAATGAGTGTCCAATCTTTTTAAATCTTCTGGGCTTTATTGGCCAATAAAAATTTTGTTTAGATGCTGCACATTAGTTTACACATTTTTTTTATTATTTATTATTCGTGATGATATTAAAACGACTTCTGTAGTGAAACAATACATTGATTAGACTCACTTATATAGCGACACAATATATTTATAAAAATTAAAAATAACTTTTAATGAGAACACTGAGCTTGTTTTTTTACACAGACTTTAGATAGTTCATCAATATCTGCTTTGATGCAGATGGTGGCAATACGAAGAGAGTATTTTCAACATGCTCGTTTAAAATTTTTCTTCTTATTTCATTTCTTGTGTGCGTCGTATGGGGAAAAATCTGCTCGCAAATGTACTTTCCAACAGCGCATGTTCGCCAAGTGTTGAATATTTTTCTTTAGGCACGTGGAATTCACGAAAGTCTACCAAAGACATTCGGATAAATTTTCCCTCGAGTTGTACATCTGATTGCAACTCGATACACTTCATTTCCATGGCAACGTATACATTTCGTTCGCTGGCAACGTATTGACATCAACTGATTGTGAGAATGGAGTAGCAAATACGTCTGAAATAAAAAAAAATATATATATTTCGCTGGCACTTGGAAATTATTTAAATTTAAAAAAAGACGTACGATCATTCGTGATGAAAATTATTTAAATAAAATTCTCAATTGATTGTCCCAATTTTGGTTATACATAACGCGTGTTGGACACGCCTGTAAACTCGTGAACGTAAGCTCGAGCTCAATTCGAGCCAGTCTGTACGACGCTGTGCCGCTAGACGCAGCCAGTTGCGTGAGACCGTCAATTTCTCCGAGACCAGGATGTAACTTCAACGACCACGCGAAACAGGATTAAGCAAACCTCTCCTCGCTTTGCTTTCCTTTCGTCGAGATTAGAACGTCGCACACGGCCGTCGACTTGCAAAAAAAAAAAAAAGAAGAAAAAAAACGATGAAACGGTGTCGGATCGCGATCACGCTTCCGATCGTTCGTCGCGGAAGCGGAGGGAAAATATCTGTGAAACGAACCGATGGATCGAAGATGGTAGATTGCCTGCCCCGTCGTTGGCGATGACTGTCGTCGCTCGGGCTCCGGTTCGTTCGTTGCCGTGTGCGACTCGCATTATCCAATTTTCCACGGTGCAGCGCGGTGCAATTGCACGCAGAGGCGGATGGCGTGGGCCGGTGCACTCGCGTCGTCGTACTTTTCACCGCTGCGTGGCCGCTGCCGGAGCTTCAGTTGTCTACGGCGTGAAACCTGCGGTCGAATCGACCGCCAGTGCATTCCGCTCGGCAGTAAAATCGATACCGCGCTGATTCGAAGATTTGTCGCGCGCGTCTACGAAGCATTCGATCGTCGTGAACGATTGTTGGACGTAATTGAAACGGAAACTGTAGCGAGGGGCATAACAGTAACGATATGACGATAAATTCTTTTATACGATCTTTTTTCATGGAAGAGGAATAGATCTTTGATCGATTGACATGCAGAAAAATATATACTAATAAAATATTTATTTTCTATGTGTTACATGTACAAATAAAAAATGTCATCGTGTGTGTGTGTATATATATATATATATATATATATAAAATGAAGAGTAACGTACAGTTAAGAGATCGTACAATAACGATAAATTCTTTTGTATGATCTTTTTCCGTGGAAAAAGAATAGATTTATTGATATGTGAAAAATATATAATATTTATATTAATATAGAGAAATAAAATATAATTATACGTACATAAAAAATAAAATATATGAAAAATAAAATATAATTATACGTATATAATGAAGATCGTAACAGTGACGATGACGATAAATTCTTTTGTACGATCTTTTTCCATGAAAGAAGAATAGATCCTTGATCTACTGACATGTAATGACAAAAAATATACTGTTTATTTTCTATGTGTTACATCTACAAATAAAAAATGTAATCGTGTATATATATATAATGAAGAGTAACGATGACGATAAATTCTTTTGTACGATCTTTTTCTGTGGAAAAAGAATAGATTTATCGATATGTAAAAAATATATAATATTTATTTTCTATATTTATGTTATATATGAAAAATAAAATATAATTGTATATATATATATATATAATGAAGAGCGTAACAGTGACGATGACAATAAATTCTTTTGTACGATCTTTTTCCATGGAAGAAGAGTAGATCGTTGATATCTATTATCATGTAGAAAAAAAAATATTATTTTTAATATGTCATTTAAATAAAATGAAATCGTACAGCCAATCTGTTGCGCTTGAAAAATTTCAGTCTTCAAGATCATAATAGATTTTCGAATTTTCAAGAAAATTCCTCATTTTCTCATTCATTGCGCTGCGTGATGTAAAATCATTAAAAAAAGAAGAAAACGAACTCGTTAGCAGAACTCTTCACGCTTGAAAATGAAATCAAATGAATCGTTTTTACGAAATCGTATCAGATTAATTATCGACAATTTTTCATTGTCATTTTGTCACAATTGCGCTCTTTACTGTGATTTGTAGTATCGAATTCGAACAAGTATCGTCAATTAGAAACAACACCTGCTGCCTTTTACCTTTAATGTCCGTTCGACACGTCTCAATTCTTTTTTCCAAACAAAATGTTTGTCACGTTGCGTAATTCTTGTAAGCCAATCTGTAATTATATGTCGCAAATCGTGAAATCGCGTTTTCCGATCGACGCAAGCGATATCACGTTACGAAGAACCGCGATACTCGTTGCGCGTATCTAATTGAAATGGAAACTGGGTAACGCACGATTCGTTTCGCAGAGAACTCTGTTTCAAGTGGCGACGAAAAGGTACGGGCATTTTCATCGAAATTTGCGAGCAATCAAAGTTACTTGCAAGCAATCAAAGTGTCAAATTTCACTCTTGAATTTTGATCGTTTGCTAATTGTTTCTTTTAAATACTCGGATTGGAAAAACTATTGGATTGTACGTTATAAAAAATATGGACTTTTTAAATATCTCGTAATTCCTTTCTCAGATTTTCTTAATCTTCTAAGAACAGGGTATTTAAATCCCCCTTCGCTAGTGGACGGATTTAAATCGCCAGGCGAAGTTTAGTTTTACATGTTTTCATATAAATTATTGTAGGTTCTATATTTTCAAAGTTAATCAAATCAAATAAAGACTGCGTTATTTTACAATAATTTATTATAATTTATTTGCAATAATACATTCGGCTTTCTCAGATATATATAGATGTCGATATTTCGGACGTTAGTACTTAGAAGGTTAAAGGTCAGATGCATAAAGTACGATTGCTTAGACAGAAAATAATAAATTACGTATGAATTTATTTATTTTAATTACTATCGTTTATCGAATTATAACGATCTGCACGCAGAATATATTTTAAAAGCCCCGTTGTTCCAGCGTTTTAACTGAGAATATCCATAACGTTTAAAAAATAATGAAACGCCACAACCAAACTAGACAGAATCCTGAAAGATTAACTAAAGGAAGCCTGAGCAAGATATAATAGTACGAGTGCTTATACAGAAAATAAATTACGTATAAATTTATTTATTTTAATTACTATCGTTTATCGAATTATAACGATCTGCACGCAGAATATATTTTAAAAGCCCCGTTATTCCAGCCTTGTAACTAAAAATATCCGTAACGTTTAAGAAATAATGAAACGCCGCAACCAAACTAGACAGAATCTTGAAAGACTAACTAAGGAAGCCTAAGCAAGATATAATAGTACGATTGTTTATACAGAAAATAAATTACGTATAAATTTATTTATTTTAATTACTATCGTTTATCGAATTATAACGATCTGCACGCAGAATATATTTTAAAAGCCCCGTTATTCCAGCCTTGTAACTAAAAATATCCGTAACGTTTAAGAAATAATGAAACGCCGCAACCAAACTAGACAGAATCCTGAAAGATTAACTAAAGGAAGCCTAAGCAAGATATAATAGTACGATTGTTTATACAGAAAATAAATTACGTATAAATTTATTTATTTTAATTACTATCGTTTATCGAATTATAACGATCTGCACGCAGAATATATTTTAAAAGCCCCGTTGTTCCAGCATTTTAACTGAGAA